TCAGTCGCCACCTTAAGGTTAACTTCTTTTCTGTAACTATTAAAGAATAAATGGACCTGAAAGTGAAGATAAACATAGCAAAGTATCTCACAAACTTCATGTCAGTGATATCCTCCATGGAAGGAGGTGTTGAGAAGAAAGCTTCTAACAAGACATGATGCACTTATTTAGGCTGCAACCACTGCATAAAGACACATGGACCTTTAACCCAATATTGTAAAGTTTATACTAAGGAGCTGTACCTCCTCTACCGTCCCCCCCACCCAAAGTGCCTACATGGCATATGACAGGACTGCTTTACTTTACTATTTGTACTAGCTTTAGCTATACAGAGATGCAAGAACTTTGTGGTCAGTGCACACTAGAGTCCCAATTATCTCACCTTTGGATATCCAACATTCCATTTAATGTGATGTGCCATGAGTCAAAGTGAGAGATCTCTATCTAGACTACACTTACACTGAATAACAAAAGGAGACAACCACTACAGATGTAGCATTATTCAGGCACTGGTGTTACCTACTCTTATTCAGGGAAGTAGGTCAATAAATAGTAGAGAGACCCAATCAAACTGATATGGACCCTAGTAAAAGACTTTATTACTGCTAGAAACATTAGTTTTCCCCTCCAAAATCGAACCCTTGGTGACCTCATCATCCTCGAACAGTGAACAGGGCTCTGGTCCATAGAAGCAAAGACATGAGATGTCATGCCTAGGGCTGCATGGCACTGAGATGGTGACAGCAGTGTCACTAATGATCCCTTTGGATCATCAATCCTCCTGTCAATCCCACCTCGCAAGTTCATTTGCCTGCTATGTTGGTATTACCAATAACATAATGTCCATGCTAAATGTTATCCAAATTTGTTCTGTGGTTTTCAAGTAAAATCACACAGATGGAATGGCAGACATGGTGAGCCCTGTTTGTTCATTTCATTCACATCATGCAGGAATCCATAACAATTCTGTTAACCCCCCTGACAAACAAAAACTACTAACTTTGACCTTATTGCATCTTCAGGTATATCTTCCAGCAGGTCATATACAGCATTATTGTAAACTTCGACATAAGTCACAAAGACAGCGTATGTATTATCGTCTTCAATACTTCCAATCTTTGTGTCATCCGGAGTCCGCTGAAGTACATCTGTATCAGAATCTTTTCTGAAATAATAAAGACTGTTATAAGATCTCTTCAAAGTAAACTACATATTCATGGACATCATAAGTACAAGTACACAAGAAAACTATTGCCCATTTCAGTGAATGTTGCAGCCAAGTGGTTAGCAACATTGCTTTGTATTCAGGAAATCCCAGATCCAAACTTTATCCCACATAATGATGTTTTATGTGGTTTTCTTTGGCCCCTCCAGGCAAAAGCCAGGGCAGTGGCTTAAATTAGGCCATAAGTGTTCTAGATCCTTTACAATTCATTAACAATCCTATAATTTTATGCTATACTGTCTGAGCTACTGACAGTATGATCAAATAAACCATAAATAAAAATAGGGCATTGTCAGAATTTTTTTTTAAAAAGGGTCCAAAAAGGGGGAAAAACTGAATGATGTACTAATCCAGATGAGACAAACTAGTAATCTTAAATTATGTGTGGTATATGGGAAAATAAGGTAAAGAATATTTTCACAGTGAAACCACCTGTTCTACATTTCTGTACCTCCACAGCAATAACAGTTATCTTATTAACTATTAAGGTATTCTTTTGTTCTGAAGATGTTCAAGGCACAAACTTGACTTATTTTGGGCAAACCCTCGATGAAAACTTATTTCTTATAAAGCAAAAAATTGCACCATCTATTAATAAATTTCTGTATGACAAAATATAAGCTTTTACACTTGTCATTAGTATAAATTCTATTTGGCTCAGATTGTTTGATGACTTACTGTGTGTATTTAAGTTAACACATTAACTGACATGATAATAAAGGACAGAGTTTTCTTAAATCAGAACTAGGTAAACAATCAATGTTCTCTTCTGTAGTTTGTTGCAAATGGAATTAGATGTGTTTTACCACAGCATAAAGTGTCAAACAGTTCAAGAAAGAGGTCTGCATATAGCAAAAGGAGCAAGGAAAATGTGGACTGGATCAAGTACACCTGACAACTCAAGTTGGGAACGGTCTTCCATGAATGCATTAATGCTGGTTCAGTTATGAAGAAAACTTCTTCCAGACCCTGAAGATGTAAGATTTAAAGCTCTGAAGGCAGCAATTATGAAGACGACTGTCTTTTGGGTTGTTGCGCCGTGTAGTCCGGTAAAAATTTACCAGAATTCAGAGGTATTTGCTGCCTTCAACATAAAGTATGTTGGAACTGTAAGTATACTCCTACTGAACTGCATAGCACAACCAAAAGACAGCCATATAAAAGATGATTTGCAAAGTTTCCTCATCACAGAACAGCAAGTCTGAAATTCTTGACCTGGTGTGTGCTATGCTATGTTAAGAAAATTGAACAAAAGTTAAAGAATGGCTACACAGTGATGTTTGTGAACTAGGCTTCCATCACATAAAAGACAAACATTGTTGATGCTGCCACAAAACAGAAGAGAGATAAAGAGAGTGGGGAGTATGACAGTGAAATTTGTACTGCCATAAGGAGTAGTCTAAATAGTTTCATAACAATAATTGTTTTCTGGGGTGGGATTGATAGCCCCTCGCCCAAACCCCAACCTGGAGGACCAGGTTATCACTCATAGTCTGGCGCATCGCCTTACACCTGTCCAGCTTGGGTGGCCCTACCAGGAGCTGAAGCTCAGCCAGCATAGCCTCCCCTACATTAGTTCAGATAATTGGGAGTTTACATTATTATAAATTCATACCACATTTACAATCACATAGGTTTAAGATTATTTTTATTTTTTCCCCATACCATTCTGCATCAGTCTAGTAAGAGAGAAACTGATCTCCTTAAAAAGTAACTCGTGCTCTCTAAATTACACATTTCGCTTTGTCCTGTCTTATATATTTCCCGGTTATGATTCACGTTCTAATGACACTTATAATGATACTTACTTCTTTGGTGTTTTCAATGAAATAACAGAATATAGTTCTTTCTGGCGATCTAAAAGGGCATCTCCATCACTTTGAATGTCAAAGCCATTCATTCTATCGGGTTTAAAAACAAATTTCTTGGCTTGGTAGCTGCCTATGCTGTTGAAGATAACATCCAAGCATCGAGGCATTACTCCACCATTTTGTGGATCGCCAGTCATTGTGAATGTTTTTCCGCTACCAGTAACACCATAAGTAAACAGTAAGCCATTATTGCCGTGGATAAGGTTTTGTACCAATGGCAAGGCTACATGATCAAAAACATCCTTCTGTGTAGCTTTGTCATCAAACACATGTTTGAAAGTGTGCTTGATTTCCTTATAACATGTTGCACGATAAGTTGATACTGCCTCTGGTGGTAGAACAAGTGAGACAGTTTTCTCAGAAGTCACTTTTACACAGGGTTCTTCGTTATTTTTAATTGGCCTTACTCGGCAGAAAACCTTCACTGGCTGTCTTGGGACTGATTGTATCTTGCCAGGAGTCTTTCTTACTGAAGGCTTGTTTTGCCTGCAAAAGAAAGCACAAAATGTTAGGACAAATGTTCTGACAGATATCCATGAAAATATGAAAAATCAACACAACACTCATTGGACTTTAATGTCTAAAATTTTGATGAAATTTGGCATGTAAATTGATCCCATTACCAGCCATCTTTGTCTATTTTTGTTCAATATCTGTCAAGTGGTTTTGGAAATACAGGATATTAAAAATCACCTCCACAGGGGTAAGAAAGGTACATGCATAAGTTTTTTCTTTAATAACTCAGAGAAAAATCTATAGCTTGTGAAATGTAATTTCTAACCACATAAATATACCCCACAAATTGTAAAGCTTCAGAATTATAAGTGGTAACACATTATTAACTTTGAAAATTAATTGCAGAAAAATAGCATCTGGTGGGACTTGTTTGTCAAGAGTAGCAGCCACGTAACTCACAAAGAGAGAGAGAGAGAGAGAGAGAGAGAGAGAGAGCGTGTGTGTGTGGTGGGGAATATATACCCACACACCCCACTTGGGACTACAACAACTTCAGAAGCTGAAATGAATTTTGTAGAGAAGTTGCATGGATCATGTAGAGAAGACGGATATCTTCATACTCACCGCTGTGAGAACCTCAAGTCTTACATGTAGAATAAGTTTGTTTTTTGGTTTCATGAACAAAAGGAACCAAAAGTGAAGATGAAAATAATTGTGAATGTGGAGAAGGAAACCACCAGGATGAGGAAGACAAAGTACAATACAGTACAAGATATCAACGCTTCATTAATCATGATTAGTGAGCCACCAATTAAGAAAGCAAAATTGAAAAAGAAAAGGCATGTGAAGAATAAATTTAAGAAAATCGTTGGGGCATTTCAGGAGGTAATGAAAATGGAGTAACCACCAAAATCAAGAATGAATGAAGTTCTTCATGAGGGAAATGATAAGCATGAATTTAAAGAAATAACAGACAAGTTAAAGAGAAGATTTCACAAATAAGATCCAAGAAAATTTCAGACACCAAAGTGGATGGAAAAGAAAGCAAAAACTATATTCAAGATACATGCATTGCAAATTGCCCTCAGTGGACTAGTGGTTAGCGTGCTTGCTACTGGACCCAAGGTTCGCGGGTTCAAAGCCAAACGAGGTCGATGGATTTTAAAGGGTGATAAAAATCAGTAGCATAACTTCCTTCGGAGGGGAGGTAAAGCCGTCGGTCCCATGTTGTAGATTTCCAGCATGTAAAAGAACCTTACGAGCATGATACGAGATGTTTCGTAAGCAAAATTCAGCGGCCATTTCTCACCTAAGTGTCTTGATTCACTTTGTAGTGAATCAGGAGACTGGCTCTGGCAGTCAAATCAGTATTCAGTAGAAACTGTGCAGACTCAGTGGGCTGGTCACTCACAACTCACAAATGCACATATCAAAGACTAGGAAACCTCTGAATAGGAGGCGGCGAAAACCCAGAAACGGGTTACAGAGCCAAGGAACAACATGCATTGCAACCACTGAAAAAACTTTTCTCTGTGGATGTCTTGCAAATGATCAGTACTAATCAGTGAATGTGAGTTGACAGGTCAAATTCTAAGTTTGCCACTTGTTAGGACTTTCATTTCTGCTCAATGGCTAGTACTTTAACATTCTTTAGTGCATTTAATTCAGTGAAGTAGAAGACATCAGACACTACATGACTTCATGTAGTGTAGCCTACGTGGACAAACTGAATATTTCAACACTCAAACAGTTAAAAAACATTCCTTTTTGCACAGTTAGTGGTTACATTACTGCAGTCTATGACAGTCTCTGGGCAGAACATGTAATCCAAAATTCTGATAAACTGCAGAAATCTACGTCTAATTTTTACATCCATATGGACCAGCATCTTTCACACACCCTATTCAACTATATGAACTAACTTTTATAGAGCACACATGTTTATTATTATTGTCTGTATAAAGAAAGTAATACAAAATATATTAAGTTCCAATCCACAACATGACATTCCAATACAACCTTAAAAATACAATATATTTTGAACTTTAAACCACTTAAATATAAGAAAGTTATATTCTCCTCTGCTTTGAACTTTAATTAGTGAAAAATTAGTGGTCACTGCTCAGTTACATTTATGTGTAATACTGTGTAATGTAAAACCAGAAAAATATTAAACTTCTTCATAAAACTCATTGCAGCTTCTGAAGTGCTTGTGATAACAGAATACTTTTTGTACAACTTGAGAGGGGAATGTGGCTGACACTTGTGATAAGTTTCAAACAAATGCCAGATGCCGTTTTCCTTCAATTGTTTTCGTAACTTCATAATATGTAACAATTTACAAATCTGAAGCTTTACAAGTTGTGAAGTATATTTAAAAATGGTTAACAAGTAAATTTCATAAGCTTTACAATAAGCTATAGGAGTAATTAAAGAAAAACCTTCTGTACATACCTTTTTACTCCAATGAGGGTATTTCAAAAACAATCTGACAGAAGTTTAAAAAAAAAATATACAAAGGTGACTTTCTAATGTGAAAACACACACTACAGTTTCTGTGGAGACTATATTAATGTTCCTTTAAGTTATCCTTGCAATCAATTAATGACAGTAGGAGTTTTCCCAGAATGACTTCAATATTCAAAAGTGGAACCTGTATATAAGGTGAAAAATCAACAGTGGTTCCAATCATACCTTCATGGCAGAACGCAACAAGGAGAAATAAAATCTAATCCCATGCTTTGGCGGATGATGCTAACATTATTTCACATCCAGATATGTACCGTTTGCAGATTTGAATAAATGATGTATCTACTACCTTGAACAAATGGATTAAAGAATTGAAGAAGTAGAAACAGCTAAATTTCTTCACCGACAAATTTACAATAATTTAACTTGGAAAACACAAATTCAACACATAATCCCTAAACTAAACTCACAATGCTTTGCTACAAGGGCTGTCACAACACTCATAAAAACAGAAACTTTAACATCCAAAATAAAATTAGGATAATGGCAGGCACTAAAAGGAGAGCCTCATGTAATATTCTTCCACTTTCTTTGTTCTTTCTATCACTATTCTCATTTGCTGTGGATAATACAGAAAAATTTCAAACAAATTCACAATATAAGTAAAAGATAAAGTTAGTACCTTACATTAGGCCATAACCACTTCCTTCTGAATTATTTTCCAATTTGTTTTATATATAACAATAGTCTGAGTTACTGAAAAAGCATTGTTAAATAAACTGTGAATAAATACAAAAAATTTACATCAAGATAAAAAGAAGTTCAAGCTAGCAGTACAAGAATATCTCGTCTCACTCCTATTCCATGGAAGACTACCTTAACCACAAATACTCAGCTATTATAAATGCATGTAATAGCAATAGTGATGAAGCCTTCTTCTGTAATTATTTTTCCTGTATTACTGTAGTTGATATTAAATCGCTAACATAACTATGTAATTTGTATTACAAACAGGCATTGTATTTGTGCCATAAAAATTCCACATCCTTGGCGTATGAAGAATCTATGGAATATAAGTAAATTCTATTCTATTCAAAGTCGAATATTTGGAAAACTTATGATGCCTACTGATTAGTCTACAATTTTTTCTTATTTAGTTATAACACTTACGCTGATTTCATCGTGGACCTTGAAAACAACACGGCAAATGAGAGCAGACTTAGCTTTATGGATTCCGTTATTCTCACACAGCTTATCTGAAATTCTACCGTTGGCAGTCCATTCAAATTTGGTGGTATAATAGGTAAACGGTCACGTGTGGGTATGCCACACAAACGAAACAAAATGTTTGCGCATGGGATGAAAATTCCCTACGACACTCGAAAATCCCTTATCCTCACATGGGAGTTTTTCAGTGACAGTGCATGAGAACTCTATTTTGTGTGTTACGTTATTTAAACAGAGATCTACACTCACTCTTCTGAAGACAATGTCACGATGACAGCGTGGACATGTAGGTGTTCATATAAGTAACGGAAATCTACAACTTGCTCAAACTATGTTGGTTTAGAGTGCCTGTAATTCTAGTATGAGAAGTTTCAATCAATGACAATGGCAATATAAACTGAGAAATAATACATTGAGATTTATTGTGGATGTTGGTATTAATTATTATTGTATTTTGTTAAGGTGGTAATGTTCGTTTGTACCTAAATATCATATTCGTTTTCTGGCACATTTTCACTACTCTGTCCTGTTCAGTAGATATTACTGACAGTGCGGTATGGCATCAGGTCTTGAGAGTTACGTAAACCGTATCCTTTATAAAGACGTCAGTTGTATGTGTTCTGTAATGTATTTCCTTTAATACGAAGGGCATGGAGGTAACATTTTTCAAATATTAATAGAGCAGTCGGTTAATATGAAATTCCAGGGTTTGCAAATTGATAACCACTTAAATTGGAAAATTCATATTGATAAACATACCTATATTGTGTGTGGAGCATGAGTTTTAAGGGATTCAACACTTGTGTGTTGAACGTTAGATTTGACGGTCCGTTTACACAACAATTTGTTATTATAGTTTCAGTGTTTATTAAGAATCTACAACATGTTTCGACCTTCACTGGTTATCAGCTCGATCTGTTTAAGAGTTCGAAACTAAAAAGATATGACTGCTAATTTGTGTACATATTTTCTGCTGCTGACTTCACCATGTAATGGAATATATTTTAACCTCCTACATATAAAAGTAGAGTGGTCTATGTTGATGTAGTTACCCTTGGAAGGCTGTAGTTGACCAGAGTCCACCTGAAGATGATGGTCGAAACATGTAATGGATTGAAGATTGCTGTGTTCAGGGTTGGTGCACCATGTAGTGTGGTAGAAGTTTACCGACATTATAGATGTCCTTGCTGCCTCTATCATCATACTGATGAGAGATTCATCTGTATTAAAGGTTTTGAAACCAATTCTGTGGGATTCTATTCAATCTCTTTCCAGTGATTCTGCATACAGGTTGTACATGTGAAATGTATACCATTTTACTGCAGCATTGGTCATTAACTGAAACTCGGGGGAATAAAAATTAAATGCGTTTAAGTAAGTCATATGATCATGCTTATAAGTCATGCCACTTAATTTCCAAGTCTTTTCACCTTAAGCAATACACAAGGTAAAATGGCATCTTAAGTAGAAAAAGTTAAATGCATGGTGTGGTTTCACAAGTCTAGTTCTACAGTTACAGTGCAAAGGAGATTTCTTATGGTGTTTGGAATGGAACCACCAACAAAAATGTTGATTTTCAAGTGGTGTAAATTGTTTATATTTGTAAAGGACAAATGGCCAGTGACTGAAACTCAGGTGGACACAGTGACATGAAGCTTTTGTTTGCAGTGCACGCAGATCAATGAGGCATGCTGCTCAACAGTCAAACACATCACTCATCAATGCACAGAATTCTATGGATATGTTTGAAATTTAAAACTTCCAACTGATGTAGCATTCAACTGCCTAAGACAGAAGTTTGCTGCACATTTTGCTTTGACTTTATTTCAAGACATGAAGATAATGAACTTACATCCAGAATTTCATTCAGTGATGAAGCCCTATTTCTTTGTTTGAGAAATATTAATGGACATAACCTGAGAATTTTGGGAGCAACAGTCCTCATGAAATTGTTGAATATATGAGAGACAATCAAAAGATGAATGTATTTTGTGCTGTGTCCAAACAAAATATGTTCCATTTATTTTTCATTGCTAAACATACTGTGACTGGCATTTTGAACTGAGATATGTAGGAAGAATTCCTCACACATATTTTTGAAGAAGAGGGTCCTAATGACAAGAGAAAGCACCTCCACATTTCCACAAGGAAGTGACAGACTCCATAAATTCCAAATTTCCAGAGAAATGGATTAGACGGTGCACGCCCATCACTTGGCCACCTTGTTTGCCTGATATTACTCCCCATGATTTTTCTTTTAGGGGTACATCAAAGATGTCGTGTATGTGCCACCATTGGCTACAACTTTGCCAGAATATGCTTGGAGGATCAAATGCTTAACAGCATGTGGATTTAAATTGAATACAGGTATGATATCTGCTGGGCCACATACGGTGCCCTCTTTAAACATCTTTAAATTGTGGGTCACAAAATCTTGATTATATAACCTCCAGAAATGTTTAGTTTCCATTCCTGTGCCTATTAGTTTATGACCAACACTGCAGTAAAGTTGTGTCCGTTTCGTATGTACACTGTGTTTATCCCAGTTTTTTTTTATTTTTCCAGGAAAATTTATTACAATCCTTAGATTGTTAAAAAGAGGAAAATTCACTCAACATGCTCCTATTCCTAGTACTTTTTTACTCTATATATTTCCATACAATTTGTTGCTGGCTTATTCTGCATGCTAGCATTTAGATAGCCTATAATTAAAGCAGTAAACTCTTATTATCTGTGTGCAGATTATCCAGTTTGTGAATTATCGAAGCACTTTTTTTTCTTGCATAAATTTAGTAGCATGTGAACTAGGCTTTCAACTTCTTTCCATGCCTATTTTGTGGATGAGGTTTCTTTTGGGAGGGCCTACAGAAGATATGATTAAACAATATTCCATTTGTTGGTGCTTCTAGTCAATATCGGTGGTGTGGTGGGGAAGTTTGTTCCAATGGTCTTGGTGCTAGAGAGACAGAGAAGATGCTACAGGTGTGCTTGGTCTTTTTCGAATGCAATAGGTTTTGATTATTGTGCTCACATTGTAAATTATATTTTTATTCTATTAATCAGTGATTCCAATAAGAAAAATCATTAGAATATAATACATCATATAGGTTAATGTACACGTTAAAAATAAATGCACACTCAAACTTATTACATAATGTAACATTACAATTATAATTTAAAGTAGTCACTTATTTTAGCTTGTTTTGAATTATTAAGACAAGTAATGGAAACTTCATTTCAAATGTTCATCATGTGCAGCACATCTAGAACCAATATTCATTTGGTATTGTCAGATGAGGTTCCTAGTGTCTCATCTTTAGAATGGATAATCCTCTGCTTCATGTCTGATATATAGAAAGTCTTAAAAGTTTTTATAATTTCCTGATCAAGATACTGAATGTGCCACATAATGTTGGGAAGTAAAAATGTTGGTTTGATGTTCTTTAAGTTCTGCCTTGGATGTACCAGGCAGTTGTACAGAATTACTACAGATTTTCGTATTTAATTGTTTTTCCCAGTTGTGAAAGTAATCTTCAAATTAGAAGCTGTTATCCAAGCACTGGCTTTGTGCTCATATTCAACAAATATATTTTTACTGCTTTGAAAAATCTAAGAGATTTGCTCTTTCGTATTATGTGTAGCTTTATTGTGATTGTTCCTGTCATATTGCAAGTTAAAAGGACTGTAAACCTTGTATCATGCAGATCCTGAGGCATTTTTAAAAATTTTGGAATAACCTGGAGTAGTTCATGAGTATAGTCCAATTTTGTATGTACTAAAGCTCTACTCTAGAATATAAGGGTTTAATACAATTTTCCAGTCAGCTTGTAGCCAGTTGTCAAGCCATCATAATCCTGATTTTCTCTATGAAGTGTTTTATAAACAATACCCTATCCTCCCTCCATGTGTCACCTGCAGAATTAATGTGGGACATGGAAGTTAACAGATAATGTTCTTAAAATGGAAATTCTGGTGTCAAAAAGTATGTAAAAATTATCCAAGAACAAAGAAAGGTATCTCAGTTTTTTAATATTTAGATTAAAAAAGAAATGCATCCAGAATTTTGGTTGGGAAATATCAGAAAAAATGGCCACTTGAAAGATCAAAAGGGAGATAAGAGGATAGTATCAAGAGCAGAAATAGATTTTAAGGATACAAGGTAGATGGTAGAATGCTGTCTCAGGATCATGCCCATTAGTGGTTTTTGATATCAGCATTATTAACTTAACCAGAGAGTTAGTTGGGTGGTTGTGTAGAAGTTTTCAGAGGGAAGGTGGCCCTGCAATTGATTGACAGTACTTACGTTTAACTTATGTCCATGTATCACACATGAGATGATGGGATGAGAAAAGTATTTGAAATTTTGGTTGGCATGCCTGAAGGGATTTGACCACTTTGAAGACGTACACATGGAGAGGGGGAGAATTAAGTGAATCTGAATGGAAATATGGTTTGACGGTGAGGACTGGATTTATTCAGTCCAAGGTAGAAACTGGTAGTAGCTGTTGTGAATGAGGTGAGCCTTCAGATTCTAAAATAAATTGAGGAATTTCTTTCACTAGCTGAGCATATTAATAGCTTCACAAGAAGGACTTAATGGCATTACATCTTACCAGTGAATGTGATGCATGTTTATGTCCACATGCTGGATTTTTGAAATGCTGGTATAGTTTAGAATGCTTAGATGTAGAAATTTGAGCCTTGGAAGATCTGAAAATAATGCTAAAATTGAAACCAAAAATGTCTAGCAGGAGACTGTGGTGTGTGTGACAGTAAACTTAAAATATTTACATAATTAATTAACAGAAAAAACAGATTACATAAAATAGGAAAGAAGTCATGTATGTAATCCACAGAGTTTTATATTACCCTTAATTGTGTTGTAGATACCGTTTCTATAATAACATCTGATGGAAGAAATTTTGTTGTAAGTGTTTTAAACCATGACAACTTTATTTATGTGGCAGAAATATAAGCACCATAATTTTTAAGCATGATAATTGACTGACATGTCTTGATCTACCAAACATTATTAGGAACTGTTATGAAACTTAATTCATGTAAATATTTATTTTTAAGCACACTGTGTGCACATAGTTTATGGAGAAAATTGCACAGAAGACCCAGAATTTGTAAGGATTATTATTTCAGCGTGTATGGATAGTTATTATTTATGAATAACTACAGGAGTAGAACATTAGCTATTTAAGGAGGTATAATGAAGACTTCTCAGGAAATCAGTCATGTCATGGAATGACTTTCCTACGTGTCTGAGATGCATCATCAGGAATAGATGTCATGTTTACTGTATACTTACTTATAGTTGGCTTTTGAAGCCCAGTGACTTCATCTGAGAGTTGACTGTGAGTTGAGTGAGGCGTAAATTTGAGTTTTCTCAATAATGTTTTGTTAATTCTTGTTTTCACTAGGTAGCAGCAGCAAGAAGACTTAGTGCCTTCTAGTAATTGCTACTTATAAGTAGGGAAACTGATTTTTTGTTTGGACTGGATCACAGATACTGTATTAAATTAGTTATGGGGAAATACTGCCACAATTGATGGATGCTATTCCTGTTCTTTGACACTCTGTTCCAAATAGTCTTCACAGACTCAGAATGGCCATATGCTAAATCCACCTACATACTGCATTTAGTTACTGAATTTTGCTTATAGATTTTTATAGTTTTAGCAAGTCAGTATATAAACTAACAGTTATAAATGCAGGCATTGCTAGTTGCTGCATTATTGTAAGATTTGTATTAACAAATTAATCCTATTTTGACTGAGATATTGACAAATACCAGTCAGGTCAAATTCTCAGCGTGAGCAGGACTGGAAAAATATGCATTGTATCACAAGTACATGTGTTCTGATTATGTGTACATAGAAGTGTAATTTGGCATTTGTTGGTCATTATTTTGAGAATGACGTGGAGAAAATGTATATTCTGATATGCATGAAATGGTTTTTCAGGGGACACTGAAAGGTTTTGACCAGACGATTAATCTGATACTAGATGAAAGCCATGAACGTGTGTACAGCACAAATCAGGGTGTGGAGCAGGTTGTGCTGGGGCTTCATATTATTCGAGGAGATAACGTGTAAGTTAACCTGAGACAAACAAGAACAGAAGAAAATTGATTTCTTTTAGAGAAAAGTTACTGAAAATAACCACTTTTAGTGCTGTGAAAGCCTGATGTTCAGACAAGTAAAACATGATGGGCCAATTCACACTCTGCCTGAATTCTGATTGATTGACGAACCTGCACAAAAGTGATTACAGATTGAAAACACTTGGAATCAGAACGTGCAGTTTGGGGTAGCAGTTGGCAACCTTTTGGCACTGGCAGGCCACATTTAACTTCTCACTTCATAACATAGGCCACATGGCAACGAGATAAGAAAATGAGATAATATATACATTGGTACATTTATTTTCATGCATAATTATTACATGTCTATTTGAAATAATAACAATTTTAAAATTTGATTTTGACATAAACCATTAATAAACATTACCTTTTTAAGAGAGAAAGTAACAATACTTGAAATATACAATTACTTTTTGTTTTTTCAAAAATATCATGATACCACTCAAACCTATACTTTAATAAAATGTGCTCTAAATCAGCCTTGTGCGGTTTCTGAGGTTGGATGTCACCAGCTAATTTGTGGTTATCTGCTTCAAAATTGAAAGATGAAATTTGTAACAAGCGTGCAAGACTTTCTTAGGAAGCTGTGAACATTATTTATTTACCTGATAGTTCATAACCAAAAATGCTTGCTCACAGATGTAAGTGCTACCTAATGCGATTATCGTTTTTTGCGGAAGTCTTGATGATGGGGGAATTTAAAATAGGGAGTCTGGCATAAGATTGCATTAGATTTCCTATAGAAAAAGCATTTTTCAAAGAGTAACTTCTTTGTAATTCACACACTTCCATTTGCATCTGTGTGGGGACATCATTAATGTCAATAGCAAAAGGATTATGGATCAAGTGGATTTAATTTAAGCTAGTGTAAAAATCAATGAACTACGAAGAAAATTCATTTCAGAATTGTCAAATGATGCTAACAATCTTATTCTTCAGCATTAGCAATTCAAGTGGTTTGATGAAGGATTACAAATCAGTTTTGCAAAAAGAAAAATTTTCCAACTTATAATTTCATAGCACTCATTGACTAAAGGTACCATTGGTAAGAGTCTGAATATTGTGTGATATTTACACCAGTCATCAAAGGAGCATACATGACGTTGACCTTTCATTTTCAATGATTGTGTTAAATGTTATCATGTATAATATTCTGTTTAACAAAAGTCAGGTACTTAAAAAATTTTAGTTCAAAACCAGAAGTGATGTAAGCATTCATCTGTCATCATAATTCCAGTCATCACTGCCTTGCCTTTTTTCCATGTATGGCTTTTCTCTTCCATTAATTACATATAACTGCTAAGCAGTGATACGGTATGTTTGCCATATGAAGAAAAACATGAATTTATTTTAAATACTTTCTGAGTCGTGTCTAGGTTTTACTGAAAAACATAGGTGAAGGCTTGTACATCCGTGTTCCCTGGTAGACAAGTCCACGTGGTAGTAGACCAATGGTGATGCAAGGGTCAAATATGTTTGAGTTTTTGTATTACCATATTTTTTAATTCATATTTCATATTTGCACATACTCATTTCAACTCTAGCTGTGTATTATTTAGCAGTGCTCCAGAACATCCACTTATAACAAGTGCAGCTGGAAATGGATACCAGAATATGTAGATTGTTGTTGTTATGAATCCCCCCCCCCAAATTAAAACCATTAATATTGGCTTCCTTTACAGTGTGATCGTTGGTGAACTTGATGAGAACCTGGATTCACGATTAGACTTGTCGAGCATCAGGGCTGATCCTCTCAACCATATTATTCACTGATGGTGTGCGATACTTTATGTATTAAGGATTATTAAATGCTTTGATTTTACCTATGTTAAGCACATTTACATTTGAAGCCTAGTTTCCTTTTGAATGCATTACCATTCCATTTTAAACACTGTTATGATTGTAAAGCCTTTAATTAGTTATATTTGTGTTTTATAATTTCTGCTTCATGGGATGAGTAGGCAATGCAATAAAGGAATAACAACAACTCCTTCAGTACCTGCATGTGATGACAGCCATGATAAAAGTTTTCAGATCACTCGTGCCGACTTGGCCGCCTTTTCAGGGCAGCCTTGGCTGACCTGCTGATTATCAGCCCCCCTTGGTTGCCCAAGGGTGACCTCAGTCAGCTCTTGGTCAGCAGAAGTGTCTTCCAAGTTGCTGAACTAAGGGGTTCACCACATCAGCTAACTTTGAGTCAGAAATCTGTCAGTGCTCTGATGTGGTCAGCGAAGAATGGAATCCCCAAATCCTCATGAATTTGTATATTAATAACATACCAAGATGCATTATTTGCAACGTGAAGATACTTGGACTGTAACACTTAAAGCTTCCAGATGTTGCTGCAGGCAGTGAACCTCCAGATCAGGCATGTGTAATCAATCCATCATAGAACAAAAGAGCAGCACACAAATTCTGATGACAGGCAACTTTTCCTGTCATGCAGGCCCAAACTATCAGCTGCCTTCTTTCTCACTTGGCTGATGTGTGCTGACGAGGTAAGCCCAGTATCACAGGTCACTCCAGCATAGGGCAGGCAGTGAGTGGCAAGATAAAGTCAGTAGTACTGATTGGTGGAGTGGGCTGCTATCTAATGAGGAGGAGCATGTGGTTGAGCAAGGGAGGAAATAGAATTTTGGAAGGAAGCAGCAAAGATGTTCTGGTGACCATGCATCATCACCCACAAGAATGGATAGGTGATGGTGGACCCACCAAATCCTCATGAATGAAAGGCCACTTATGTTAAGGAGGTGCCAGAAGTACCTAAATTAATAAATTACAGTGTAAATCATGATTTAAAGTTGTGAGGTTTAGGGCAAATGGTTGTAATGGAAACATTTTTCATTCGGAAGATGGCTGTCCTGTGAACTTCTACATGGCGCAACAACCCAGAAAACAATCATCAAACTCACTCATAAAAACCACTAATCCTACATTTTTAATTCAAGTTCACCTGCCCAAAATGCTTATGAATACTACTGAAAGAAACTGCTGAGATAATTTCTCCTGATATATAAAAGTGCAGTGATACTAGCTGTAATCAGTTCTCATGGATTAACTTTTAACTATCTATTGTCAATCTCAAACAGCTACTTCGACATCGGGTCCGAAAACGAGCGGTTCTTGGCGGCTAGCGACATCTTTCGCGGCTAATGTGTACTGTGTATGGCCTTTCAAGGATCTCCACACAGACTGATAGGTTGCAGGAACTTTTGTTGCGCCCTCCACAGATGAAAGAGTTTTCACACCAGAGATAGTACCTCTAACAATTTATATATGTTGTTATAACTCTGTTGTCGTAGTTGGTTTCGCACACCACAGACAAATCAACACGTAACTCCAACTATGTGGTCACATAGTATTGCTTACTGAGTAAGATGGCTTAATCCGAACCCCAAACAGAACGAGTGCGAGTTTTAGCCAGTTATCTTCAATACGGTATATATCCCTACGCCCCTATAAAAAATGTTTAATATAGACCAAAAGCTATTACAGTTTGCCTGTTAAGAGAGGAACAGAGTGGATTTCGGAAAGGGTCGATGGTGTACTGACAATGTATTTACTATTAAAAAAATACAGCTTTAATACAAAACAATGAAAATGATTGGCAGAGGTCCACATACAATTTAAATTAATCGTGTACGACAATATCGATAAAACAAACTATGGTCATGGCCTTTATTAGGAAAGCCTTAATAAGATTAAAAATCGTCATTGACAATCAGAAAAACCCCAACAATTACGTAGATTCAAGGCAATATGTGGAACTACACAGAAGCCAAAAAAATAAACTAGATAAGAAGCAAAAATAAAAATTTAAAAAGTCATGGCGGCGACAATACTGTACAATATGTGAAACTTGGGTGCCGACACAAACAGATTTTGGTAGGATGCAGGTAGCGGAAATTAGAGTTATCAGAATAGTCAAAGGATATACGAAAAGAGACTGGATCAAAAACAAAGGCATAAAGAAGAACTTCATGTAGAGACCTTAAATATAAAAATAATTGAATACCGTGTGAAATGAATAGAACACTTATCAAGGAAGGACAATACCAGATTACCAAAAATTGCTTATAACTATAACTCCAGGGCAAGACGAAACTTGGGACAACCCAAAAAACCGTGGAGATATTTGTGAACTCGGAATAGGCAATTATGCCTATCCCATGAAGTGGAGAAGAAGAGGAAGAAGAAGACGGTATTTTCCACATTGTTTATTACTGTGATATTTCCGAGCGCCACCGTTTGCTGAGTGAGGTTAGAGCAATCTACGTTGCGTCATACTCCATATGGCTGATGTTTGAAATGCTGATGTGTATAGCAGTTGTGTTTAACGCTATTTATATTGTGCTTTAAAATAAAGTATATCGGTGAAAAATGCCTGGAAGTGTAGCTATCGTGAACGGCAATGCCGAAGCCATGGAAAGTGAATCAGGCCAAGGAGTAGGACCTCCGAAGACAGCAAAACAGTTAGAAAAAGAAGCAAGAAAATTAGCAAAACTTGAGAAATTTAAACAGAAGCAGGATAAGCAAAGGGATCCACCAGCCCAAACGAAGGAAAAATTCGAGGTTTGTAATTTTGCAATTGGAAGCAGAAGTTTCAGCTATCATATGGTAGTGAAATGAAACGATTTTGGCTTTGAATGCAATGTATGTATTTCGGGAAAGCTTCCGAAAAAGTAAAAATTCTGGCGAAATTTTGTTGATGTTGACCCTTGCATATAATTACAGTTCAAGCTCTATTTTAAGAAAGCTGTGGAAGTGACCATTGCACCAGTGGTCTAACCCTTTTTTAGAATTGAGAGAACTGAGCTAAAAATTTCCTCTCTTCTGTTTGTTATGCAGAAAAGAAGCAGTAATTTTAATCCACAATGAAGGCTGTTGAAACTGTCGGCTGTGTCTGTATGACATATGAGTTTCCATTATTTTGGAGACTGTCTGCCACTGTCCTCAGAGAATTATGTAATGGTGGGGGCAGAGACAGTCTGAAAATGGAAGTTCATTCTATACTAAGATGCCTGATCACCTGAGAGATCTTCATTGCATTCAATTACCATAAAACTTCAGATTTTTTCATGTTATAATATTTGAGTAGATGGATATTCAATATGCAGAGTGATCAAGAAGTCATGCAATCCATACCTAACACTTGTTCTGTTTGCATTGAAATCACAAACAAAAGACATTATTATGTAAATTGTTGGAGATGATGACTGTGT